GCATCTAAACTGATGCCTCTATAAGGGGCTCGCATACCCTATTTGCATAGTTCCACCAATCACTTGGTGGGAGTTACAGAGATACGGGTAGGAGAGCCATATGAAGAAATGTGACTTCACCACAGTGGGACTATGTAAATAAGGGGGCTGATGGGCCACCATGGGGATGGGACCATTTTGTGAATGCAAATGAAGTGTATGGCACTCTTGTGGGGGTGGGACTATGCAAATAGGTTGCATGGAAACCTTGTAGGGAAATGGTCAGTTTTGCCATCCTGCCATCCTGATTGGCTCCTCTGGGAGCCAATCCCAGAGGTTTGGACCTCCCTGCCATCCAGAAGCCAGAGTTTGTGCACTGAGAACCACCTAGATCCAGGAGGCAGAGCTCTCACGGACACCGTTTGATGGGGTGAGACAGCGAGAGGGGTGGGACGCTGTGGTGGAATGGTCAGGAACCACAGCTCCAATTCGTTCATTCTCACCTCAAGCTCCCTAGGAGGTGAAATTTGGTTCTTGTGGGGGTGAGGAGGAGGAAAACATCTTAGTCTTCCCTTTTTTCCTCAGAAAGCACAGATGGACATGTAGTGCCCGCATAGATTAGTTTATCTGTGACATTAACATTTCATGGGATGGGCAACTAGGAAAAAAATGTTGAAAAAATTGCCTTCAGACCGCAATCATGCAACAAAGGTTGAAAAATGTTGCCCTAGACCATTGGCGCCCAAATGGATTTAAGCTACTGTCCTGTTCAGGACCAAAAAAAAAAAAAAATCACTTAGGGCCCTGCTGGCAATCTCGGAGAAAGCACAGGTATCTGCTTTAGCACCCCCTCTGGCTTTCTGGTTAGGCCCAGCACCTACTCAAGGGGCCAGTATCACCCACTTTTGGGAAACACTGCCCTAGTTGAATGCTGTAGTGTCAGGCCAGGCAAACTCCTCAGGAAGAGAGAGACTTGTGGTTCTTTAAGCTGAACCACAGCGTTGAGCACCTGTGAACCGATGGAAAGGAGACATCTGGAAGCGCTGAGGACTTGCAAGATTCAGGAATGAAGCCGGCTCCTTGCCTCCGTCAAAGCCCCAAACCAAGCTCCCTGACACTGAGAGGCTCCCGACTCCTAACAGCCCTCCAGCCCTGGCTAGAACGGCCTCTGTGGGGTCTGAGACTGTCACTCTGGATCTTTCGCTCACGGAGCAGCTGGTGGTTTCGATGTGCTGACCTTGAGGTTAGCAGTCAACCAGGGAACCGCTACCCCAGCAAGACTCCCCACACCCAGAGGAACTCTCTCACCCGCTTCCTGTCGGTGGAAGCTCCCTGTGTTTAAGGAGCCAGCGCCTGGGAAATGGGGGTGGGGGCTGCATTGTCAGGTCACTGTAGACAAGATGAAAGGCGATTGCTACTGAGCTGTCTCCTGCTCCTGACGACCCCCTGTGGGTCAGAGTGGAACCAGGCTCCTGAGGGCTCACGAAGGCTGATTTTACAGAAATCAGTCACCAGCCCTTTCTTCTGGGGCCTCTGGTGGGACCCCAGCTCCCCACCTTTGGGATAGGAGCCCCAACCTGATTGAGGCTCCATCCCTATGGAATCGAACAACGTGACTGCCTAAAGCTAAACATCTTTTCTGAAACGCGAAAGCTTCTCAAAAGCAAAGAGCAAGCATTTCCCTTCCTCGCTCATCCAGCAGAGAGCAAACCATCAGAGCATTCTGTGTCGAGAAACGAGTGACTAAAAATCATTCAATTTCTCTGCTTCTCTCTCTCTCTCTCAAAAAAAAAAAAACCCCAACCCAGAAAACGTCAACTCGTCTGAGCTCAGCAAAGATGGGTGAGGGATAGGGCTGCCACAGGAAGCCACGTGCCCTTCAAAGGCACCTGTCCTTGACACTGCGCTTCTTGAGCGAGCCCACACTGCCTCCCAGACCTCAGAGCCGCTTGCAGCTAAGCCAGGTACGTGGGGATGGGGACCTTGTCTAGTTGCTCTTGTACTTGAGGACACTCCAGGAACCGATAGCCAGTGTGGGCATTCCAGCGCTCAGGCGTCTTGGTCACTCCAGTGCTCACAGCTGGCTGGCCACTTGGTGCTCTCACGTGGTCCGTTGGAACCTGTGCACCGCAAGCCCCCACTCAAGGCCACCCGAGTAGCCAAGCTTCTCTGCTGCATACATTAGACCAAGTCGTCCAGCCGAGACTGTGCGGATATTTCCCATCAGAACCACAAACGTTCTGCTTCCCACATCGACCCTGGACCTCCTGGGCCAGCGGCCTCGCACAGAGAAGGGCAACAGACAAATCCCCAGCATCCACTAGCGGTGTTTGTTGGTTGTCGTGTGACCATTTACACACACACACACACACACGGCATTTGGGGTGTGTGTGTGTAGGAGGTGCAGGGCTGGGGGCATAGATGTGAATAAGAACAGTGAGAAAGAGGCTGAATGAGGCACGCTAGGGTGCCGTGGACCCATGAGGAAGGAGGCAAGAGGGGGAGGCCTTGGGTCAGAAAGACCCCTTCGTTCCTGAATTGCTTTGATTCACAGCTGAGCGCATCTATAATTTAGAGAAGGTTTTAACCTCTTTCTCTGCCCACTTGGGCAGGAAATGAGCGTGGCTGGCAGGGAAAGGGCTTGTTTCTGGTTATGGTGAGAGCTGTCGGGTGAATGTCCCACCCCCATAGGATCCACTGCAGCTCACATCAAGAATGCTGTCTGATGAAAAGACCGAGAAGTCCCCTCAAATGACTCACCTGAGCACTGTGCCCTACTTTCTGAAGGGCGGGAAAACACGTTGACTGCATTAGTGTGGAACTGGCCCCGGGCGGCTGGTCACCATCGCAGGGAAGGCCAGGCGGGTTGCCACCAGGGACACTGAGTGCAAACCTGGCACCAGCTTCCGAGAGCTGACCACTAACTATGGAGGAATTTGGTAAAGCTGTTTTTCACATGCTGAAAAATTGCAATGTAAAGAGGGCTGGTGGCGCAGTGGTGATTAGCTAGGCTAATCCTCACAAGGCTGGTGGTATGAACCCACCAGCGGTTCCGTGGGAGACAGATGCGGCTGACTGCTTCCACAACAATGCAGAGCCTCAGAAACCTGATAAGGCAGTCTGGCCATGTGAGAGGATGACATCCCGAAAGCTCGCCCCCTCCCCTGGCCCCCATTGGAAGCCTCATCACTTCGACTTGGGGGGGAAACCGATGAGCAGTTTGTATACCTGGCTAGCTAGCGCTGTGGTCTTTCGAAGCCATTCACCCTCTCCGAGGGTTGCATGACTCACTTAGAACAGGAATCCATTATGCTGAGTTACCCTGTTTCCCCAAAAATAAGACAGTGTCTTATATTAATTTTTGCTTCCAAAGATGCGCTAGGTCTTATTTTCAGAGGATGTCTTATTTTTCCATGAAGAAGAATACGGTACACATTTATTGTTGAACAACAAAAAAGGAAATGTATTACCTGTATACGGTACGGTAGTAGTTGTCATCACAAACCAGCATAACCAGACAAACTGAATCCTGCAGTATCAAGAATTTCTTGTTACTACCATTATTTCCATGTACAGCAATCTATGGTACATTTGCTCATTTATTCAATGACAGTCATGTCATCATCTTCTGGAACATCATCAGAACAAGCCAAACCCTTATTTTTGGGAGGTCTTATATTTCAGCGAGAGGCAAAACTGTAAGTTGGTCTTATTTTCGGGGGATGTCTTACTTTCGGAGAAACAGGGTAGGTCCCGAGTAGAAGATTGCTGTTGGGAAGGGGGTCGGGGACCAGAGCAAGAGGAAAACGAGAACAAAAGGCAAACTCACTGCTGTTGGTTCCGACTCAGAGCGACCCAATAAGATAGGGGAGAACTAGCTCTGGGGGTTTCTAAGACTGTAATTCTTTGCGGGTCGATAGAGTGCCCCCTGTCTCCTGCAGCGCCGTCGGTGGTTTCCAGCTGTGGGCTTTGCGGTTAGCAGTCGAATGCGTGACCATGATGCCCCGGGGACCCCTTAGGAGCACAGGAGGGCACACTCCTTGTAGAGCACTTTGACGTGTGTAAAGCACCGAGGCTGCAGCAGGGGTCACTCCTAGTTCTGTCTCATCACAATGAGACAGTCGGAACGACTCCAGCAGCAGCGACAGGTTTTGAGTCTGCAGGGGAACCTGCGCCGACCCGCCTGGCTGGTGTGCGCGTCTGAGAGATCCTGGGCGCAGTCTTGTTGGGAGGCTAACAGGCCTGGTCACCTCCGCAAGTGATTTCAGGGACCCCGACGATCGTGTGTGTGTGTGTGTGTGTGTGTGTGTGTCTGTGTGTGTGTGTCTAGGAGTGAGGCTGGGAGAAGCTAAAAGAGACCATAGTATGGAAGAGTGTAGGTCCAAGAAGAGATGGTCCAGTAGCTAAGTCATGGCCCTTCCCACAGAGAGATCCAACCCGCTGGCCCCAGCCAGCCCTCTACCCTCTGATCT